TTGCATTCAGCGGTATGGCGGACGGATATGCGTTTATTCGCCGATCTTCAAAAATTAATATCTCTTTAACGATTGCGAATTTTGCAAAATGGTACAGGACTTTTCTGTTCAATTTCATCTGTTCTACCTGCCCACGAAGTCTGGTGCGGTTATTATGGGACACCCTGTATATATATGTGTATATATATATATATATATATATATATATATAATGCAATAACATCATTCACAATTGTAATAAAAATAATTAATCTGTAAATATTTATAAACCATTGTCAAACATATGTTTGATCTTCTGATTTTAATTGAACGATTCATGAGACAATGAACGGAAAATGTAATTAAATTAGATACTGTCTGCAGTTGTACATTAATCAATTTTAAAAAAATAGTTTGTCTATTATCTTCAAAGACTGAAGTTACGAAGACAAGTCTTTCATAGTATCATTGAAAAACATGCTTGTAAGAAATGAGTCTTTAAACTCGAACAGATTGAGACAGATAAAGATATAAAAAAAAAGTATAAATCTTGGATATTATGTAATCACAATAGTTCGTGAAATACTACTGCACTTAAGCAACTTGTATAAACTTATAACTTTTCAGCGTTCCACATTTTTTTCTTCGAGAAGAAAAACGCCACGCTTTTTTCAGTTTTCTTGTTCTTGCGCACTATTAGTTTCACCCCCATTCTGATTATGATTCACACCGTCTACATGTTCGTCAGGTTTTCGACAAACGAAATACACGCTATTGTATTCACACTGTAACATACTGTTTATGTTCTGGGCATAACGCGTCTTCACTTTTGTCTGTTCCTTCTGAAAAAAAAAAAAAAAAAAAATAAGCGACATCGCCCGTAAACGTACGTCCAAAGTTATAAAATGCAAAAATAAAGTTTATTACCTCTAATTCAAAGCCGAAGCCTAAAATAACGTCGCGGATAGCATCGTAACTTGGCTCAATCGACTCTTCGTTCGGCAAATCGCTGAAATGATATAGCAACGGTCCGAGATTTATCCAAACGCCACCCGGCTTCAGGATTTTATAAATCGTTTCGATAAATTGTACAACGTTATTGGCACAGTCTATGAAGAAACATGTCGCGATGCAATCCCAATGGTTGCTTTCCGTATAAACCTGAAATACATCGTGCTGATTTTACTGAACAAATGTTATATAGCGGCCCCTAGACGATCAATATTATTGCATAACTGTACAATATTATTGATTGTTTGGAGGCTATTGAATGTTTGAATTGCCAAAAGGAGAATGCATCAATAATATTGTGCAAGATAATCGTACAATATTGATTGTTTAGGGGCCGCTTTGCGGCATAAAATGTTATATATATTCTCATGTTACCTCTAAAAAATCACCCGCGGTCATAGAGAATTGCGCGGTTCCCGGAAGATCGCTCGGACTCACGTCGGGAAAGGAAACCGCCTGCGTCTGATGCTCGGGTTTCAAGTTGTTCATATACTGATGTACCCACGGATGTACTTGATACAAGTTGATATCTCTACATCTGATACAAAAGGAAAAATTGTGTGACAAAAGATTCTAGGGCGATTATTATTACTGCGTGCTATCGTCACTCACTTGTTTAAAACAAAGTTTGACGCAAATAGCATGAAGAGGGAAAATTCGTTCCCTTGGCAGGTGTATCCGCGTTTTGCGATTTCGAAGGCGAGACGGCCCAATCCTGCACCAGGTACTAAGATGTGCACGTCCGATGGCGTACTAGAAATTCAACTATCATTTGATATTTCTCTTACGATCAGTCGTGTCTCGGCTGAAATATAAGAGAAATTTCCAAAATATCTTACAAGATTTTCAGCCGCAGTTTCTTCAAAGGTTTAAAACTTTATCGATTTTCGGCCTTTGATGGAAAAGCAGAGCTCAAATTCTCTAAGACATTTTGCAAGTTTCTCTTGTTTTCGCTTTCTTTGTTTCTTTGATAATATTATTAGTAATTGCTTATGGTATGTAGTTATGAATTATCATACCATTGTTCCGAAGGAAATTGATATAATATTTCATCTATGATTGGCTGATAGCATGCTTTGCGTTCCTCGGCACCTTCCACACTCCAGTCCCGTACCAATTGCTTAATGGTAGCTTGCACCTTCTCCTGATCTGACATCACAGGCCTTAGATTTAGTGTCTGCAACGAACCCATCTATTTCATACAATGGAACATTATATCGTGTTGACGTGTTTAAATAGTTAAACATAATTTAACATTTTACACTGCAGACCAAAAGTTTGGAAGTATTTTTAAAAAATAAACATTTTTAGTATTACTTACTATAAAACTGTGTGTTTTATAATAATTTTTCCCTATAGCAAATAATTTTTCAAATCCAGCAATTATTATGTAAAACTAAACACAGTTTTATAATAAGTAAAAAGATATAAGTGTTATAGATATTTGAATATCCATTACAGTGTATTTTTTACAATATTTTTTTCTTATAGCAAGTACAATAATTCTTCAAATCCTGTAATTATTGCACTAAACACATAGTTTTCATTGATATTTTATATAGTTGTACGTTATATAGTTTATCTGCATTTTTATCAATATTTCCAAACTTTTGGCTCAGAGTATATATAGACAGTATCAATTGCTATTGCATCACGTCTATTACGTTGTACAGTATCATGAAGATATGATTAAACAAAAGGCTTGTGGCAACAGTGGGTTAACATATATTTTATAACATTTTATAAAAATGGAGAAAATGAACTCTTTAAAGTACATCATTTTGATTTTCATTTTTTCTGTTGTTACAAAATATGGCTTAGCTCATCAGTTTGCAGCAAGCAATCTTTCATTAATAATTGAAAAACAATTTAGGCAAAGTATATGACAACATACATCAAGATATATTTCGACACATTGATTACGTAGTAAAAGCCAAAACCTTATTAAATTATTCATTAAGCTGTCAACTAACAAAATTATAGATATACAAAAGATTAAATAAATGTTCTTACATTATCAACCTGCGCAGTGGTTGGACATACATTTTCAAATATATGAGCCACGTCTTTTATTATAAGCTTTATGATCTGGTCGTTGTTTTCAATACACCGTTTGACCTCCTGCAGGTGCTCCCTGTACTTTAACAGGAGCTTCTGATGATGTTGTGGTAGGCTGAGGAAGTAAGACTCTGTTTTTCTTACTCTCAGCAGGGAGTGTGTTCTGCGTAACAAAGAAGAAATTGAGGAGCCAACGGAAGAATTTCCGCGCATCAAGTGTCAGGGGAGGGCGATGTTATTTACATAGTAAAAAGCATCACAGGGGTGATCTCTTAAATGATCACGCTTACGAATCTCGTCCTCGTGACAAACGACAGATGAACGTAATTCATTAATGCGACAATGTTTCTCCTGGTTCTTCGATATGCATTAATACATGGAAAGCGACCTGGGATCAGTTGCCGCCGAATGTGCTGGTCCTCGCACGTTCGCGTCGACGTCGACGTCGGCATCGACGGAAGAGAATGGACGAAACGCGAGAGATAAAGGATGGCCCGACATCGCCGTCGGGCTACTCACTTGTAATATCTGAACGCGGAGACGATCCTCTGGAAGTGCTTCCGCTCCTCTTCGTCCTCATAACTGTTGTGCATTCTTTTGGGATGCGAGCTCACGGTCGTGTCCATTGCTTCCATCTTTAAACGTCGGCTTTAACGTCGAGAGCGCGCGGGTCTTATTTTGTAATGAATCCCACCTCTTCGCTCCTCGCGCTCTCTCTCTCTCTCTCTCTCGTTTCTCCTTGCAGTCCGCGCGCCCAGAGAGAGCGTTAATACAACGCGTTTACACGGACGTGTGGAAACACTTCCGCTCTCCCTCGTCCACACCTTCTGCACCCGAAAGCGAGAGAGTGCATGCAACTGAACGCGTCACACGTGGCGAGGGAGGGAGACGCGCGGCGCGGAAGATACAGCCGGTGCAGCTGCCCGGGAACTCGTGCTGTCGGTGTCCGCCTTTCGCGTCTCTTGCGGTTATAATGAAATAAACGTTGATCGACAGAGAAACATGCGCGGAGGGTGGAGTACGCTCGCCCCAAAACGAATCGGATCTAACGAGATCACGGTCTTTCAGTCTTTCGCGAATTCCAAACTATCGTAAATCTTCCCTTATCCCGAGTCAGCTGTTCCTGAGATTCTCCCCTCGCGTCGCGCTGTCACCGCGCTAAGCGCTTCCACCGCGAGCGCATTTGCCACGTGACTACGGCGATCACGTGACGACAGTGAGCGAGCGCGAAAAGAGGAAGACGGGAAGTGCGACGTCATTTTCGTTCTGCGCGTGTGCCGTTCGTACGGCAGGTGAGGGTGGCGCGTGGAAGGGGACTGAGGGGGGGATTTTCGAATAGAGCAGAACTGCTTGGATTGTACTTTGGTCCCGAGACCCGATTTGACCCACTGACCTCGAGGAAAGGTGAAATAATCGATCGCGGATCCCGCCGAGCTCCGAAACGCTGATCGCGTGGCGGATTCATGAAAATTGCGCGCGTAATCTAGGGACTTTCTCGTCACACTCAGACTTCATGCGTTCCCGGCCGCGACGATCTAAACATTGAACACGGGGAAACCAGCGAAGCGAATAAACAGATTTTTCGCCTTTTGATTCTTTTCACGGCCCTTTTATCATCGATCGATCGAGCCTCACTGTGGTGCGATTTGAACGATTTCGATCTTCGACACGCGTCTGAAACATACCGGTGATACGGGAGATCTTAACATCCCTCCCTTCCCCACTCGAGCTACTTCAAATCGATGAATTTAAGGCATTTAAGCGACACCCTAACCTCTTTCACTCGAGAATCTATCCAAAAATAGCGATAGTTCATCGCAGGGAAGACAACGAAAGATTACAAATCGACAGGGTTGGGTAAGTTAATATTTTTTTTTAACTAAGTTAAGTTAAAGTTAACAGTCTAAAAATTTAACTTAGTTAAGATATAAGTTAGTCCATTATAAAATTAATTGAGTTAAAAGTTAAGTTAATAAAAACAAATAATTGAAAAAGTTAAAAGTTAAATTTTTTCATTTTATAATTTTAGGGTTTCTAAATAAAGTTTCTAAATAAAGTATATATTTGTTATACTTATTTCTGTCGTGCCGCAGAAAGAGGACCGATTTCGAAGGACTTCTTCCAACATGATTTAATACACAGAAGGTCCGCGAACAGTGATTCCTTCCTGCGATCAGACTATATTTATTATATATTATTACAATTGCCTTGATGTGTGTTCTCAAATTAGAGTTTGAAGACATTAACTTAGACATGTATTTTTATTTTGGGTTTACAAAAAGCACTAAAAATGTAACTTCTAAATGTAACTAAAAGAAAGTTAGATCAAAAGTTAATAGTTACCGATAAAATGTAACTAAATTAAGTTAAAAGTTAAGAGCCTAAAATGTAACTAAGTTAAAATTATTTAACTTTTTAACGTAACTTTTATCTTTTTAACTAGGCACTACCCAACCCTGCAAATCGACATCGCGACGATGTTCTCACAATCAGAGAAGCGAGATATCACGCGACACAAAATCGCGGAAGATGCGTTGTTGCTCTCCCTCTCTGTCGTTCTCTCTCGCGTTCGCCATTTTTAAAAGGAGCTCGACGATCGGCAGCGCAACTCGGAAGGCCGAAACTCCGGTGATCCTACGCCATTGAAGGGGCAGTGGGCACCCGTGTCGTGTCCCGTGGGCGGCTGGGGCGCCACGCGCGCGGTGCGGGGAGGCGGGTGCAGGGGGGGAGGGGGGAAGCAAAGTGCGCGGTAGCGAGCGGCGAGGTAACACGGCGCGAGAGGTGGTCCGTGGTGTGGTGGGTGCGTACATGCGGCGTTCGCTACTTTGCTCGGCCTCATCCGTCCGTTCGTGATTTCAGTGATTCGTCGTTGTGCAAGGTCGACGAGGTGGTGTCGCGACCAAAGGACATCGCGGGGTTTCGTAGTTCACGGACGTGTGTCCACTGTATTTCGTCGTTTAGCTCGTGAAGAAGGTGGTGGCCGATCTTTCCCACCACCTTGCCCCACCCCGCTACTACGCGGACCCTCTCTCTGGTGCCCCGCGTGCGTGAGCGCGCGTCCTCCTATCCCGTCCGCAGGTACAAGCCCAGACGAAGAATAGTGAATTACGATGTAAACGAAGTCAGCGAAGAGGCAAGCAGGTCTCCCTCTCAAGGTTTTATCGCCCATCCCTCTTCGCCTCGTCGTGAATCGAGGAGGGTGGACTCATCGCGGTGTGACGACCCAGCGACGAGGGTGAGAGGAGGCTCGCGAAGAGGTACCTTTTTTTCTTCGTCGGAGTCCCGCTCCGACATCGGTGACGTCGGCGTTTCTCTCGGTGCACGAGAAACTGTGCACGGACAAGCATGTCGGGGGCGCCGCAGATGTCCAGCGGGCTGAGCAAGCTGAAGAAGAAGCACTTCCGGGTGAAGCATCAGAAGGTTAAGCTGTTCCGCGCGAACGAGCCGCTGCTCAGCGTGTTTATGTGGGGCGTCAATCACACGGTAAGACGGCGCGCGAGCTCTCCCCTTCCTCCCGTTCCCCGCGCGCCTTAACGTCGCGTGTTGACTGTTGACGTTTCCCGCTACGACGGACGGCGAACATCATCGTCGTCATCGCCGCTTTTTTTATTTCCATTTAGCGCCGTCGGCATGTCCTCCAGTCCTGTCCAGTCCGTCACGCGGCTCGATCATTGCGTCACCGTCCGTCGAAACGGAACAGCGTAATACGCGCCGGACGCACTCCCCGCGCGACGCCGACTCGCCTGATACCTTAACGGCCTCGTAATTATGTCAATTGCCCTTTAATTTCGTCACGTGTACGTAGACATTTGGCAAGGTGCGCGGTGGACGTATCAGCCTCCTTTGAGCTCGTTAGTCCGGTGTTTTTTTCGATTCTACCTGCCTGATCGATCATGAACTTGACCATTGTACTCTTTAATTGAGCTTGATGTTTCGTGAGATAAATCTATATGATTGTTATGTTTGTTGCGTTGCAGATAAACGAACTTAGTCACGTTAACATTCCGGTAATGCTCTTGCCAGATGATTTTAGAGCTTACAGCAAGTTGAAAGTGGATAATCATCTCTTCAACAAGTAAGTTCACCTTTTCTTTCTCTTTACATTGTGTACGAGAGTGTGCAATTACATGTAATTTTTTCGATTGATTTCTTCATACCGCTCGTTTACTCCTTTGCAATAATGTAACTAAAAAAATTTTCATTTTTTAATTTTGGAAAAATAATGAAAAAAAACACTTTAAAAGGATATACTTTTGTTTCTCTGCAATCAATTATTACCTCAAAATTATATTTCAAAATTAATATTATAAAACTTATATTTTTATATTTATAAAATTTTAATATTTCACAAAATATTCAAACTCATTTTCTGGACAACTTTGTTGTTTGATTGTGAATTGTGTTGTAGCAATTGAACGACGATATTTTGAATCATATTTTTGCTAATTGCAACATATACATGTCCATATAGTTTCTAAATATACTCGAGCAACTGTATGTGTATAATGAGATAATCTTAGAAATATATTTGTAGGAATAATATATTGTTCTATTATATATATATGTATATTTATTTATTTGTGTGTGTATATGTGTACGTATGTATGTGTGTGCGTATGTGTAACGCTTAGTGCCAATGTGCTGGCAACTCGCTTTTAATTTTAGATCTGTTTACGTTAATGAAAGTAAAACCACAATAATACTTCTGATATTAGAGATATTTGCCTATGCATACAATCTGTTCTTTTTTTATTTTTGCAGAGAGAACATGCCCTCCCACTTTAAAATCAAAGAATATTGTCCATTAGTCTTTAGGAATTTGCGAGAAAGGTTTGGAATAGACGATTTGGATTACAAGGAGTCGATGACAAGGTAAATACCTGCGCGTTGATTGTTTTCGCTACACTTTGATGTGTAATCTGAGTATAACGCTACAATTACAGCAAATGCACTTTGTATAAAGTTGAGATAAACTCGCTTTCTTGCGATTGCTCGACGACACCGTTTCGTCGCGAGTGAATTAGGGGATGGACGGAGGCTACTGCAATGTTGTAAGCTTTGTAACGTAAGAATGTTTTGATGTGGTAGATGTCGGGTGTTTAATCCCTCGCGAGCAAAGCAGCGTACGGATTTGGTCGAAGGAATAGGCAGAAGGACACGTCAATTGGTTCAACGCGCCGCTACCGTTCCGTCGATTACCCTTTCTTCCCCCTCTTCTGCCTCCCCTCCGCATAATTCCATTCTAAACAAACCGCTGCGTATTTGCAGCCTTAAACCGAAACGCCTGAGGTTAGCGAAACTTGATTTTGCCATGCTATGCGTGTTCGTCATTTCTAACAAAAGTTGAAAGAAAGGCCTATCTTGGACGAGCAAGAATCGCCGTGACTAAGCGCAATAATTTATTAATACCTTAATGGCTACGTCCAGCAAAAAAAAACTTTGCAACTGTTGTAAGATTCTTTATTATGATTGGTTTATATATTTATAGATCCAGAGGAATTAAAGAATCAATCATATTAAAAAATTGAAATATTTTAAAGTCTTACAATAGTTGCAATGCGCTACTTTTTATGCTGAACGCAACCATTGGTTGCTTAATTCAAAAGCGATAGTTTAAATTCAGCAAGTGGAGGCTACCACTGAGAGTTTTTCCAATTTTAAAGCATGGTGAGAAAATGTTTCAGTCGAATAATTATCATCAAGAACATTGCTGAGATAACCAAGTTAATTAACAGGTTGAAATGCTTTATATCGACGACGATGATGACAGTAATGATAATAATAATCATCCTGTCCATCATAACAGAGCGAAGAGAACTGAAGGCAAAAGATTCGACAAAAAAATAATTCTAATTTTAATTTATAATTGTGTCAAATTAATATTCTCACATTAACGTAACTATGATAACTTCAATAGCGATCAAGTCGTTTCACATGCCAGGTATTCGGCTCTACATCAAAATACCCACCGATTATCTAATATACTCTTGACAGTGTGATTCATCATTCATATCTGCCAAGATTACGCTCCCATATTGCCCTATGCCAGCGGTCATTTGAATCGAGCCATTGTTTGATCCTCTTTTACACAAATACATACCCGCACGCATACCAGAGATGCGGTTTGCGCACTTCTTCCTCTTCTACTTCCAGATCGCAACCGGTGCTTGACGATTCGTCCGGGAAGAGTGGCGCGAAATTTTATCAATCTTACGACAAGCTATTCATAATTAAAACTCTCACGAGCGAGGAAGTGGAGAGGATGCACTCGTTCCTCAAGCATTATCATCCTGTAAGTACAATTTGACAATGAATGCCGCGAAGATATTGGCGCTACACGAGACATTTACATTGCAGTATATCGTCGAGCGGCATGGAAAGACACTGTTACCGCAATATCTGGGAATGTACCGACTAACTGTCGACGGGGTGGAGCACTACGTGGTCGCCATAAGAAATGTATTTTCAAATCACCTGACGACGCACAAGAAGTTCGATCTGAAAGGTTCAACGGTTGACCGGGAAGCGTCGGACAAAGAGAAGGAAAAGGATCTCCCTACTTATAAGGATAACGATTTCGTTAAAGAGGGCATGAAGATTTACATCGGGGAAGAGGCCAAAGCTAAGCTAATAGAAACATTAACCGCCGATGTAGACGTGAGTATTCTATATAAGCGTATAAACTTTGATCACGCAGGATTTTGATTCACTATCATGGGAGTTATTTTAAAAGTTGAATAATTTATCAAGATGAAAATAGATTTCTCAAATTTGAAAAGAACTCTAAAATACTCGAGATAACCTATCTTTTTCCGTAGTTCTTGACGAGATTACACCTGATGGATTACTCCTTGCTACTCGGCTTGCACGATTGCGCGCGCGCCGAACAGGAGAGCAGAGAGCGTGCGGAGAGGGAGGACGACGAGGACAATCACGAGGAGGAGGACGACAGCGAGTCCGGTAGTGGACTGGAGTCTCGAGGTCCAGTGGTAGAGTAAGCGGACATTTTACACCTTTCTCTTGAAATGAAAGTTGACCATTTGATTTATATCCATCGATAACTTGTTTGTTTGCAGCCGCTTATGGAGTTGGAGCGGCGTTGGCCACGCGGTAACCAACATGGCAACGCCTCCCGAGTCACCACATGCTGCATTGATGCGTGATACCAGTCTACAATACGAAGACGCGATAATACCCGAGCTAGATATTTACGCTATTCCTAGTAAAGAAGGTACTATCCCGAGTAATCGTGCGTTTATGCGCGTGTAGAAATAAAAAAAAACACTCATTACATATTATTTTCCTTAGGTGCTCCCACAAAGGAGATTTATTTTCTGGCCATAATAGATGTGCTGACGCATTATGGCGTGCGTAAGCAAGCAGCGAAAGCGGCCAAGACCGTCAAATACGGTGCTAATGTCGACGGTATATCCACCTGTGATCCAGAACAATACGGCAAACGATTCATAGAGTTTATGAGCAAAGCCATAGAGTAAAAGAGTATTATTAATCGTTGTTGCATAAAATGAGTCTACGACGATATTACCGCTTACTGAGTACTGTCGGAATGAAATCGAATTGATCGCGACCCGCACGCGACAGGAAGGGAGAGTCCCTCCTCCCCGAAGATCGAATTGATGCACATCTTCGTTCGGTTTGGCTTCTCGGTACCAAGTTATCTTCTTAACAGCGTTTTCACTTTGTGGTTTTCATACGCGATCGAATAAAAGCGCGTTAACGAATCGCTTATTTCGCGAGCTCTTTTTAAGAACGCGTCCTTTCCTAATATCTATTATGTCGATATTATATTTTGCTGGCTGGTGAGAGATTTTTATTCTCTATAATTACTTCACGTCTACGTTGCTTTGTTTAGTCAGTCTTCACGGTCGGTCGTGAAGAAGTGTGATTCGAAGGTGATTTATTCAGTTTGTCGCTTGAAAAATTTCTCTTTCTTCGTGATAGAAAAACTTTTTAATCGCACACAGCGTTAATACGTGTTCACTTGCAAACGCGCGAGAATTTTCATATAAAGTGGAAAAAAACGATGCCTCCTCTTTTCTCTGTCGCTCATATCTTCTTTTCTTGTCGCACACGTCTCGAAGAAAGCGATAGTATATCTTCGTATTGTTCCGATGAATCTCGTGACAAAAAATTAACGGCATTGAAGTGTACACCAATTGGATGGGCAGTATTATCTGCGGATTGAGATAAAAGAAGTCGCACACAGATTCCTTATCTGCTAATATCAGTAGTTGTAATGTCTGAAAATATATTAGCAGCAGTTTCTCTCTCTTTTTTTTTTAATAGGACTGATTAACAGATGTGAGTCATGCTGTATGCTACAGAGATATCTAAACTTGATGTGTTACCGTTGCAGTAAATCTCGACCGAGCATTGCGGCGCTTGCCAAGTGTAGAACTGTCTGGGTACGCGCCTAATCATTTTATCATATAAGATGTAATTTTAGTAGCTCAAGACGAAGCTATACGAATGTCCGTTGTTTCGCTGAAGTTATCGATAGTGATATATACTTCGCAATGTCGAGAGATAATGTATACTCAGCTAAAAGGTTGTTAATAAACACTTTATTTTGATGGATTTTACTTGTGGAGCGGTTGAACGTAATTGGTTAGATCCATTGGTAGGAACTAATCGCTCGGTGAACAGAATATGTTCTGAAAATTATCATAAAAGTGTTGCAATTTTTTAGCTGATAAGTGTACACGCACACGCACACACGCGCGTGCGCGCGCGCGCATATATGCATATACAAATCGTTACGAAATGAAATACACTTTGTAAATGCTAGCTCGGTTCGGTTAAGTGCGTTTCAACTATCGCGGAGCGAGATAGAGCTCGGTTACTTCGCAGAATGCATCCATGGGAGGAACGACACATTCGTTGGATGATACTCACACGATACATATCTCTTTCGTCGCGACACTCGAGCCGGTAACTTTGCCGGCTATCACGTATTTCGCAAGAGAATACTCAGAAAAAGAATGGCACCGTTCTTCCGAAGATCGGCATCTTGCAGACCCCTGGACAGTTATCATTTGTCGAAGGTTTTTCCGCATGGATTATGAGTCTGCAATGTTTCTTTTCTGTATCTTACCGTATTTGATAAATTCATTTATTTAACGGAAATATTTGACGAAAGTCGAACGTAACTGTTGAGCAATTTGTACCGTGTTGTAAGAAAAGAGAATATGGTATGCACCGCATTGCGTAAGACAATATCTTTAAATGATATCTAATACACTTTTATATATAAATATAATATATATATATATATATATGTATGTACGTATGTATGTATGTATAATTTGTTAGAGAACCGATCATAATATAACGACTAATTACTCGAACGATTAATATATTCATCTAGTCTTGATACTTTGTATAATTTTATATATTTTATCGTTTAATCGCGCGCGCCGGGACTAATGGGTGCGATAGACGAAAGGAGGAGGTTGCTTTCGTTGCTATGTACTTGCTACAGAATATTTTAGGTTTCGACAAATACGACCAGTTCAGCACTGCATGATTGTCAGTCGTATGAGATAGCACAGATTTTTAAACGTTACTTTAATCAACAGAATCTTTTGGACGCGGCTCATAGTGTTCTCTAATAAATGAAGAATTACATCCATCCGTTAGCATGCGTCTTCATATGGCAACGACAAATTTTTGTTCACATTCAAAATAAAGATTGAGATTCATCGGTACGCAAAAATTCGTTTTGTGCAGCTTTATTACATGTGTAAAATAACGTCGCAGTCTTTTTTTTCTTTTTTCCTAGCTTAATTCACAATCTCGACGTGTACAGAATCCGTCTTCCAACTTATATATGTTACGATGTATGGATACTTTGGAATCAATGCAGACAATTACTTTACGACACACGTAGCAAGAGAAAAATAAATTGTTACTTCTGACATAAGGAATATTTACTTCTATAAAAAACGGAATCGACCGTACGAATTCCAAGGTATCTATATGGAAAAACAAACTAAAAAGCACTCTCTCAAATATATCTGTTAAATAGATAACAAAAAATAAAAGAGAAAAAATGTCAATACTCTGCATCTGTACTGCTCTTACAAACTATATATATTAGCCTACGAAGATTTCTGGTGATTTTACATAAGACTTTATGTATTTACCGGATTATTTTCCAATTTCTGCCCATTACGTTTTGCAGCGGTTGGAGATATCTGCCTTAAGCATTCTATATCGTTAAATACAATCTGCGCACCTCCTCCACAAGTCGGCAATACATCGGCCTGCAACAACACGCGAGGATACAATACGCTCTCCAAAATGTTGGTTGTAATGGAACTTACTTTGTACAACTTGGTTTCAAGTTCACCATCCGCATCTTGTTCCTGCGAGAGTAGGCAGTATTTAGAAGATCCGGCCAGAAAATCTTTCGGTTTCGTCAGCTTCCGAATGGTACGCTGATGAGGCTGCGTTTGCGGTTGTAAAATCGTACCAGTTGGAACTATTCCGTGGGGACGATGATCTATCCATCTATCTGTATTTTGCACTCGCTGATATCTCGGGTTCACTACTGGAATCTTGTCCTGAGAATACACATGTAAAGATCAGCTCAGGTACATAAGCGCGTCTATCGAGAGAAACGTAACGTACAAATTGATTTTCTATCGTAAAATGGGGTAACTTTGATCCAAATTTTTAAAATGTTAGACAGCACGCATGTTTAAAATCTGGACATAAGACATGTCTTATGTCCGATTTGGCGTGCTCTTCGGGCATTATCAAAATTATTCTAAAGTTATCGCGACTTGGATTTATTCCAAAATTATCCTCATTTTACGATATTTTTATTCAAATTTACGCTTTTTCATTACCTTTATACTGAAGTTGATCTTGTTAACAATTGTATTATCGACCGACGTAGATGACAATGGACAATCAAGGGGCATCGTTGAATTCGGTTTCTCTACGATCTCGGTTTTCAAATCCGAAGACGTGGAAGATTCTGCGACTGTCATTAGGATTGGTTCCTTCGCGGCTTGTTCTTGGACATCGTCAGAGTTGGGTCTCGCGTGAAAGGGTACCTGACGAATCTGACTACGAGGGCTGGAAGTTTGAGAATCGACGAATGTCACTGCAGATTTTTCGTTGGATAACGAGTTCGGTTCCCCTACGACTTTTCCATGAGTGTCATTGGGAATGGTTCTTGCATGAGAAGATATTTGGCGGATTTGTCCAAAAGGACTCTTGGAAGTTTGAAGATTGATGGACATCAGTGAAGGTTCTTTCTTGGGTATCATCAAAGTTGATTTCTCCGCAGTCTCCACTCTCGAACTTGAAGCTATTGGTGGCGTCAGGGTGATATTATCGGACGTATCCTCACGAGCTGAAGTCAATATTTGCCTTACCAATTTCAATTTGTCGTCTTTCTTTTTGATGCAGCTCTAAAAGCGGTGCAAATTTATTTCAATTTTAATTTTTATTTATTTTAATACACAAGTTATCGAAGATTATCTCCAAAGAGATACTTCTAAAATATATTTAAAATAAACCGATAACTGACATTGACTTTGTAATTGTAAACTCTATTAAAGTGTACCGTCAGTCGCTCACGCTGTTCTCGCAATTTTGTTTCCATTTCAGCGGTCATTTTGTCGGTTTCCACTTCTATCATAATGTTGCATCTCTGTATTAGCTTTTCCTTCTCCAACACATGTTGTTGGAGTTGCCTGTCTCTGTCTTTCAACTACAGAAATTATATAAATGGGTAAAAGAAAATAATGTGTGAAAGGTTACCTCATAGAAATATGCTTACCTCTTCCTGTATATTCCTCATAGCATCGCACGCATTGTTCAATTTGCATAACAAGTCGTCGATATGGTTTTGTAGCTTACAAATACGACCTTCTAATGTAGAGATCTGAAAGATTTGTGTATAGAACATGATAAGAAAAAATTTCAAGAAAAGTACGTGTAATTGAAAGGCTCGATATACACAAATCAACCCTAATTTCTTTTTTATATGCTATATTAAAAATACAAAATTGAGAACAATCATAAAAATATTTAAAGGGCATTTTGTTTGGAGCTGTCTGTTTCTTATATCAAAAGATATGGAAAGATATGGAATGTTTGAAATATCAAATCCACTCGAAGTCGTTTTTTTTGCCAAGAAATGAAGCTGACTGATTTCTGTATACTTGAGCCCCTCAATTGTATCTTTGTTCTCACATCAGAAAAACTTACTATCTTTTTCTGTTCGTTGTTGTCGTGTCTTAAGAACGCGTTTTCATGTTCTAGTTTCACCAATACGTTTCTGAAATGATTCTCTGGAAAGAGTACGTCAATTATGAGAAATTCAACAACGGTGAATAATATAGTTGCACGCTGAAAGATGCACTAAGATCATACGTTTCTTGCACACGTCTTCCTGCAGCAAATCTCTCTTCTGAATACGCGTTCCCAAGAGTCGAATTAACCTCACGATCGTTCGCTCGTCCTGCAGATCCACCACGTTCGCCTCGGAAAGAGGATCGCTCAGACTGTGAACGAGAGAATCGCCATGTAGCAACATGTAGAGACGTACAGAGATAAATAAAAGTAATGCACCGCGATATTCGTGTTTCTAAGTTAACTAACGCAGCCATGTTACTCCATGTGAGACGCGAGAGTCAGCAATTGATGTGAAGCGGTGTGAATTTCCTCCGCAATAACCGATGACAACTTTGCAACTCGTTGATTCGCAACAAACAAGACGAAAAGGCACGTTATACATGTGTATATCACATTACACCACCAGGCACCGTTGTACAGCAAAACGTTTGAAATTTAGCGCATGTCGCGCCAATCAAATGCAACAGGTGCCGCGAGTTCTGCATTATCGATAATCAATGAAATCGTTGCCGTCATGAGTTACCGATTGAATCTAGCTGAATCTGCAAATCTCCACCTCGCACGAATTCCAAGATGGCAATATCGTTCTCTCGCGATTCCGGATTGACATTTGAACGATCGCCATCATTTTACATCTATAGTGTAAATCAAGAAAATAAAAATGTAAAAATTATGCGAAAGCATCTTTTTCTTTCATTTTTTACATAGTCTCACGAACGCACATGTCTATTTTGATATCATACCTGTTATCTAGACTGTCTCAATTATTAGGTTCATTTATTAAAGTCCGATTTAATTGAATTGTTATATATAATAGCATTTATATAATCTATATATAATCGTTTGCATATCGCGCTCAATTTTTTTAGTCTGCACTGCGGATTGCATAATTCTGTAAAATAATAAAACATATATTGGGTGTTTCATTTTAGCACGCTGCAGATATTGCATGAGTAATACACTGTGTGCTACACGTAAAGTATACTTGGAATGCTGCTTATTATAGTTTCTTAGTGTAACACTAAAGTCTATTTTTATTTTTACGAGCATTTAAGTTTATCTATAATAGGCAAATCATTTTAAATAATTGAAAAGATAGGACACAAACGCACATACCTAAGACATTTTAGAGCAGTAGTTGCACTAAAGAAGCCGCCGCGAGAGTGCAGACGTAAAAATTTTTGAATTTAATTCTTATAAAATTGGCCAATTTTTGCGAGCACGGATATTTTGCATTTATATATTCTTTTTTTCTTTTAATCCGACTAATAGTTATCCCTAGCTGAATGATATAATGTATATATGTATACATATATATATATATATATATATATATATATATATACAATATACATATACAAGTTTTGGGATCGTCAGATATATATATATATAATAAATGAAAAAAGCGTAAATATATACAGTTAATTTAAGCTAATTGGCACAGTTAAAAAATGTAATAAAGTAAGCAATAACAAATAAAAAAATATTGATTTGTTTGTTACTGCAATACTGCCTATAATTATATTATTATATATACTGGTTTTTCTATGTACACTGGCCTAATTAAGTTTCTCAGAAACTCGATGTACGGTTTTTGCGATAGATTTCAGATTTAATCGTGAATTTGTGTTTGTGAATATTGTGAAACATTGGTTTTGCATAACATTAATTGGCTTTTTACAAAAATTAATTTAAATAAATGATAATTTATTATTACACATTTTATTAATTATCAATCTGTAAATAATAAACAAAATTAAAAATTGTTTCTTTTATACACAATAAATTAAAACACATAAATATAATAAAATGAATTACAATACAATGGTTACAATAAGTGATTCGCGGCCTTATGGAATGAACTGTGTTTCAAGACCGATGAATATGTGGCATGCAGTTTGAGTGTAGTGGATATTATAAAAAATATCACACATCAACATCCGTGTTAACTCCCGTAGGCCTACTCTACTTTAATATGTTTGATTTATTCTCGGGAGTCTATAATTTTTTTAAATTATTTTAATTGCAATACAATTTTAATTTTTCTAAATTAAAAATATATAGTTTGAAGCCAATACAGTACGATCAGATTCTTCTTACTAAAGATATATTTATTAAAAATTTTATACGGAATATTTTATACATATATACGGAACGTTTTGACCTTACTTCTCATACAACAGAAATGTTCGAAATACATAACAATATCCTAAAGATATTACATATCCCAAATATATCTTTAGGGTATCCCTACAATATATTTTGAATACTTCTGCTGTGTGGAATTTTTCATCAGCTGTTAATATATAAACCAAAACTACATTAATCACATTCCACTAATTTAATCATATCGACGTATACATAACACTTTCAATTTTCGTCGTTATATTAAGATAAAATAATACAGTCAATATTTAAATTAAACATATTGCGTTGGAAGTATCAATAGTCGGAACAAATCAAAAATTAACATAAAAGTCAAATCAAAAAAACTAGTCCATATAATTTATTCGTCGGTTTCCTAACTGTCCGCGAATGAATTAGGTCTGGTAATGTAAAAACATGACGAAAACGTGTGTATATTGTTTACTTGGTTGTATGTTCTATTCTTTTTATCGAAATTATATGATGTTATACAATTACGGCGAATTGAAGAAAATTCTAAAACTGAACTGAACTACCAAAACTTACATGGCAATTAATTTGTTAAGGAATGACAGGAAGTTTATATCATCTCATATATAAAAGGCGTGTCTGAGATGAAGAGTGTCAGCGATTAATAAAATTGTATGAGTATATACCATCATAAGCTTAGATGTGTAAACAAGTTCAACAAGACACACAAACATAGAAACAAATTAACAGAAAATAATGTCTTCTACAAATTAAATTGTAAAGACTGCAACGTGTCATATGTAGGCCAAACAAAAACAGTTAAGAACAAGAATTAAAGAGACATAAAAACAATATACAATTAAATCATGATAAACATTCGGTCATCATAGTGTACATATAACTGTCCGAAAAGTGTGAAAACCCCTTAATATTTTGGAAACTAAGCGTTTTTGAGAAAAATGTTTTAGATAAAAGTTGTAGAGCTTAAAAGAATCTATTTAATGATTTTATTTGTTTGGCCTTAGATGGCGTCATCAAGGTCAGGTCAAGGTCTCATTGATTTTTTTAAAATGGAACACCCTAGTTTTGGTTCCAGAATCTAAGCTGGTGTCAAGAGCTTTCTATAATACAATATTTTTTGATTAAGTAAATCTCGAATTATGAACCTTGAAATTACAGTACCGTCGACATCAGTATTATCAAAGTGTACCGCGTAGAGCTTGTCCGGTCGGATTTACACCTTTTGTGTGTGTGTGTGTGTGTGTGTGTGTGTGTGTGTGTGTGTGTGTGTGTGTGCGTGCGTGTGTGTGTGTGTGTGTGTGTGTGCGTGCGCGTGTGTGTTAGAACGCGTGTTTTGAAAAGCTCTTGATGCATTATTTGACCAGTAACAGCAAGATAAGTTATCCGGTCAGTGAAGACAAGATAGATTGATCTGGATTTTTACTTCATAGTAAATAAATTTTTAATTCATAGTAATAGTGTTTGAAATATGCATCATTTACGGTTTGGCCTTATCTTATAAACTTTGCTTTTTAGATAATTCCCAAGAAGAAATCTAAAGGCAATAAAATCGGGCGATCGTGGCGGCCAAGAAATCTGTATGATCTTCGCCAACGAATCACGACGAAGTTATGCTGATTGACCACAATTTCATCAGAAATGCTGTGTCCGCTTTTTATGATCGGATAGCACATTGCCAAACCATAAATTGTGCACATTTTGAATATTTGCTATGAATTAAAAATCCAAATCCATCTATCTTGCCTTCACTAACCGGATAGTCCCCTATACATATATATTTTACCTTGAATGACCGGATAGATTTGTCTTTACTGGTCAAATAATGCGTCAAGAGTTTTTTAAAACGCCGCGCGCTTACACACACACACACACACACACGCACACGCACACGCACACGCACACGAACACGCACACGCACACGCACACGCACACACACACACACACACACAAAGAGATGTAAATTCGGGCAAGCTCCATGCGGTACACCTTGGTAATGTTAATGCCGGCGGTACGGTAACTTTCAAACTTCATAACGAGATTTACTTAACCAAAAAGTACGTTCAGATTCGGCGATCTTTATAAATTAATATCTCAATAACTGTTGCGAAGATCGGAAAATGGTAGAAGATTTTTCGATTCAATTTAGCCCACTCTATCTGCCCACGAGCCCACCTGCGCTTCGCCATTGAGTACCGGACATTCTATATTTGTATGTATATTAGAGTGGACAGAAAGAAAGAAATTTTTGCAAATTGTTTGGTAATACCTCCCAAAAGTTAGCTATGGACCTCAATATGATCTAGGTAAAATTTCATCGAAATTGATTAATATCTTCAGATTGCCCCTTCGACCTTGCAATTAGTAAGTTAAAAAAATAAATTTTTGAAAATCGAAAAAATAGATAATATAAATAAGATTATATGTACTTTACAAAGTCTACTTATATTTATATATAAATGATAAAATGTATAATATTAATGATAAATTTATATAGTTTACTTTTTAGTTTGTAACATGTTATTTTTTAACTTTGAGAAAGAATTTAATAAGGAAAAAGTTGTATCTGAATGCAAAAAAATTTCGTATTGTAAGTCTATATATTAAAGGACGAGCATGACCACCACATGTTAAACATTTTTTTATTGATGGCACTCTTGATATATTTTACACGCTGAAACTTATGGTTACATTTATGTTATGTACCTAATGTGAGTACCTAATGTAACACTGTATCACCGTTAGAACGTTCTGTGTTGAACACAATGTTACATTCTATTATATTCTCAGTGTCTCTTAATGCTGAAAAGCATTCATTGTTAGAGATATTCGCCGGCGTGTGTGTGTGCGCTAACATCTGTTATCTTATTGATATTGCATCGCTATTTTTTACGTAATCCCTATTATTCCGTATAATGCCGTTTATGACGGATTCTCGCTCTTTCTCTCCTCTTAACAAACTGCATTTAGTGCGCTATATTTACAGAAAACGGAAAAAATATCATGGTTGCGTCAAGCCCGTCTTAAACGATTAAACGTATTCCGATTTCAGAATCTTCCTTTCGTAATTTTACACTCCGTGTAAATTGGATGATACGCGCGTGTACGAGTGTTCTAATGTCTATACATATTCTCTTATACATAGTCTCTCTTGTGTCCTTATTTTTTAATTTACACGACATAAAGTCACAAATAGAATTCTATCCAGAATTACGATTTGCAGATCGTTTGTGTTTTAGATGATCTATGAGTTATTATATTTTAGAATTTTATTTGTAATCTTAATTGTGCTGTGTGTAGTATACGTGCATATTTTAATACATTTTCTTCTGTACGCATATATTTTGATTTTCGATCCTCAAATGTGTCTTTTATTTCGGTGTAAAATTTATAACTGTAAAATTCCATCCTGAAAAAGTGGGACCTGGCGACTACGCGTTTAACAGGGAAGAGAAGGGGGAAAATATCAATTTTACACTCGAGAAATAATTTCAGATGTCGCGTATTATTAATGCGCGCACGTTTAATCGATCTTACGAGCGTTCGCGCGCGCGAGCATTAAGAATTATGATAATAGTTTAATCTCGCATTCGTTATTTTCACAGCTGGACTATTGTAGATCCTCGATTCGGCACGAATTCCCGGGCAATGAATCATTAATTATCATCCGGTAAATGCGCGTGGACAAAATCTTATTCTACAGCAAATGTTTCTTCTTCTGTGTTTGCTTTGTCTTTTAAATTTCAGTCAAATTGCAATCGGGGGAGGGGAGGGAAACACACGTTTTGTAAACGAGATTTTTTCGAAATACTCTCTCGCGTTTCTGTCTCGGCGTACGCCGTTCACTTAATGGCTCTTCGTTGTGCTGTCATTATCTCACGGTAACTGATCTGAATTTCCATGACATAAACTTACGTCAGCTTTTCCGACTAGCTCGCGCATTCGCAGGAGCGCAATTTCATTTCATCTTCGAAGTCTTGCACTTGTCCGCGCACAGTAACGTCCGCGAGTGATTGATCGAACGGCTGATAACGGCTTGGTTTTTACAGAACGCGGATCTGCTGCCTTCTTTGACTTGTTTTTATTACATGAAGCATAATTGACGAGGAGGAAAGAGCCGCATGCAGATCGTACGTATCGGAAGGTAACGAGTGCCAATGCGAGTTTCAAGTGACCGACGACAGATCCTGAGATTGGCGATATAAATGGGAAAAAAGGTATGCGAGAGAGATGATCAGAAAATAGCGAGGAATGTACGTTAGAAGAAGATTAATGAATAGCGGCGTTTAAGCGGCACGAATCTGATTTCTTCGTAACGTTTCTTCGAATCGCGTGATATGTTGAAAATTAAATTAATGTTAGTACACGAAAAGAACAATTTTGCTGAATTTAGATCTGAAAATAATTTTTGTTTAATAATCAAAATAATTTTGTGCAAAAGTTAAAATGATTGCTAGAATATCAAAACATTTTATAGAAATACTTATCAGTTTTAACATTCCAACAAATTATTTTGATGATTCTATTAAAAATTATTTTTAGATTTCTTTTTAGTAAAATTTTTAAACCTTTCAACAAAATCGTTTTTTCCGTGTACAAGCAACACAGTTACGTTCAAAATACATTTAATTAACATTACAAATCGTGTAATAAATAAAAATGTATAAACTGAAAAATAAATGTTTAAAATTTGATACATTTTTTAAACTATTTAATAAACATTATAAAAATGTTTTATAAGATATTTATAACGTCTATTTAACGTTTCTTTTTCAGCTTCTAGTTTAAAATACCGTTCCTGTATGTATAACATTTTAATAAATTAATCTATCAATAAATCTATATTTAGATCGAGTTAATGACGTCTATTTAACGTCTTCATAGATAAAAACGTGGGTTAAGTTTTTTTAAATGTAAATACTTGAGGGTTTTCCTCGTAGTAATTACCGGCTGCAACAATTCTTGGAATAAGCGATGAATAGGTAATGTGCCTGAGTATAACATAATGTACCGCGTTAGTCAATTTTTCATCGACTTTTAATTTCAGGACCATTGAAATAATTATATTGAATTCTTAAGCTGGAAATGCTAGAATAACAAACTTTTTTGCATCATATTTGAGCATTTTAAATAATTATTTCAACATAATTAAATTTTTAGATCTGTATCTACTTAAAAATTTTTTAATATTTTAGTAAAACCGTTCTTTCCATGCAAGCATTTTCGTGTAATGCTTCAAACAGAACGATATTTTCGTAATTTTATTCACGGATATTATAGATAAGAGATTCCGCCAGCTTTATATTCTTCGCCGGAAGAGAAAATGGAGACTATATAAGCGAACTACATCTGAACAGTAATTGCAATAATGTTTCAGGAGTCCTACATGATCTCGAGCGGCGTGATAAATCGCGCCTTTGTCGTAGACGAACCGGTAAATCAGAATGGCATCGAAGCTAATGGTCCCACCACTCATGAAACTAACGCGGTAATTATCCTTCATACAAAAGCGAAAAATTTGTAATACTACTGAAAAAACAGGGAAAAAAGCGAGAAAAAGCTTCTTAAATAGTCTCAAACAAATAATACGAAAACGAAAGCTTTCGATCAAATTTTTGTTTTCAATTTTTAAGTGATGTACACGACGATTAGGTAAAAAAAGAGTTTGCACAGCGTGTCTGCTTTAGGAAAATATTTTACAGAAAGAGGAAGTAATATATTTCCCTCGTGGCTCGGAAACACAGTCGTTTTTGTTTGCGTCACTGTAATTAATAAAATTGACAATATCAAAACATTAATTATTTTTAAAAATTGTCCCGGACAATGGATGGTCCCAGCTGTGTAAACACTGCTTTTTCCTTCGCTCGCTCGTTGCACGCGTGTATATTTTTCATACAGCGGAAACCGGAGCGCCAACAATGGGGAAACGATAGAGAGTTCCTGCTGTCCTGCATCGCGATGTCGGTCGGTCTCGGTAATGTATGGCGATTTCCGTTCACGGCGTACGAGAACGGCGGCGGTGCCTTTTTGATACCGTACATCATCGTCCTGATCGTCGTGGGGAAGCCGTTTTATCTGCTGGAGATGATCTTGGGACAATTCTCCAGCCGGTCAGCCGTGAAGATCTGGGATCTCGCGCCGGCGTTCAGAGGTGCGATGTGCGGTGATGACGCGGTATTCACGGCGCGTCCCGTCGCGTGTTTCTCGCAATTCCCTGTGCGCTTTGATTTTATCACATTAGATTTTCGTAAAAAGTTTTACAAAATTGTAAAAGTTATAGTATTACAACGCAAAGATAAAATTAAATTCGTATCACGGAAAGAACAATTTTGCTGAATCCAGATCTAAAAATAATTTTTGTTTAATAATCAAAATAATTTTGTACGAAAGTCAAAATAATTGCTAGAGTATCAAAACGTTTTATAGCAATGCTTATCAGTTTTAATATTCCAACAATTTATTTTGATGATTCAACAAAAAATTATTTTCAAATCTGTATTTAGCAAAATGTTTAAACCTTTCAACAAAATCATTCTTTCCATATAGGCGTCGGCATCGCACAATTTATAACACTGGTGGCACTGGGGTCCTATTATTGTTCACTAATGGCGTTGACACTGTTCTACTTCGGTGCCTGCTTTCAAGAGGAATTACCGTGGGGAAGATGCTGGAAGGAATGGGGCGAGTTGTGCGTAGACTCTTCACCCGGCAATCACAGCGCTAGACTCGAGAACGTCAGCTACACCAGTTCCGCTGAGCTGTATTTCTAGTAAATTATTTAGAAACAATAGTCAAATTAGCTATTTATTTCCGTAAGATTATTTACGTAAGATGTCTTGAAACTTACCAGATGAATTTTCATACAAAATTTTAGAAAATGAAATGGATAACAACTATATACATATTTTAAATAAAGAGTTTACCTTAAGGGGGTATTCTAGTGTGAACGTCCGTTTTTGAGGTGATTTTTGAGAATTAATTTTTTAAAAACGGTTAAACCTAGATGTAATGTTTTGTTTTTACATTTATACATATTTTAAAGTAACTTCTCAATTTTTTTTAATGCTTTTTATTGAGAATTACATACGGCACAAATGGACGCGCAGGTCATGTTTTGAAATTCCTCTTCTATCGGGCGTAATGATTGCGGCCGTCTTTGTCATCTCAAATAAACAAATTTTTTTTATTTTATTCTTTACAAATGTGGTTATCGCTCAAACCTCTAGTAAATCATTTGTAGAACAATTGACAAAATGGCGATGCTTGAAAAAAAATAGTTCGATTTTTGATAAAAAATATTTAATTTTCACGGTCCGGAAAAATAGTAATTTTCAAGAGATCAAAAAGTTGGAGGTTCAGGCGATAGCCTAATATGTGCACTATATGTATGCAAAAGCGCAAATCGATCGGCCCAGTAGTTTGTGAGAAAAATACACGCCCGATTTGAAAAATATCGTTTCGAGAAAAACGCGTTTAAAGTTTCTCATGCGTTTACAAGGTAGATAATGAGTAATTTCAGTAACTTACCCTTAGTCAGTTATACTAGGACTGTAGGATACCTTTCTCAGCTATATATAGCACCATTTGTAAAGAAATACTACCTGACACGCAAAAAATCCGTCTACTGCATGGAAATCACGGGCGACAAGCCGCATGGACGCGCGCAGGGGCTACGTCTTTAAACCTCTATAGCTCGGTCAATTTGACGAATTTCATCTTAATATTTTAGAAACACATTTTCAAGACCCTAAACTATAAGAATATGCAAAAAATAAATCGATTTTTTTTACCGGTCACACTATAGAATACCCCCTTAATAAAATTTTAAGTCGAAATTGAGTTATAAAGATACATATACGGAAAGAACGATTTTGCTGAAATTTAGCTGAATACAGATTTGTGTGAAAATAATTTTGTTGGAAACTCAAACTGATTGCTATAATATCAAAACGTTTTGCAGCATTATTCATTGTGCTTGAGTATTCAACATTATTTTAATCTAACAAAATAATTTTCAAATCTGTGCCTAGCTAAATTTTAGATATTTTAACAAAATCATTCATCGCGTGTGTTTAATGCAAAAGAAAGAAGTGTTTAAAAAAGAAGATTAACATGTTAAGCAACAAATAATAAATCTTCTCGGCTAAAGTTTGTTCCAAATTAGCCAAGAAATATTCAGGACATCCAATAATTTTGGGACAATTTGTATTATATGAAAATGATAAAAAGCGAACAAAATAATAACGAGATAGCGAAGAGATTCACTTTTATCCAGCAAAGAGGTCCTACGGGAGAAAGACAACATTGACGACGGCCTCGGTGCACCGGATTGGCGTCTGTCGATCACGCTCTTCGCAAGCTGGCTGACGGTCTTCCTCGTGGTGATACGCGGCATACGCAGCTCCGGCAAGGCGGCGTATTTCCTGGCCATATTTCCCTACGTGGTCCTCATCGTGCTGCTTGTTAGGGCGGTCACGATGGACGGGTCTGTCACCGGTATCCTGTACTTTATCACTCCGACGTGGGAGAAGTTGTTGACGCCGACGATTTGGTACAACTCCGTCGCCCAGTGCTTCTTCTCGTTGACCGTTTGCTTCGGCGCCGTCGTCATGTTTGCCTCGCACAACAAGTTTCACCATGATGTGTATCGGTTAGTTAAGGACACGTTCTGACTTCTGTTTCCATTCCGTAAATATCTATCGACCTCAGAGAATTTGCTTATATCCTTATACAGAAGTCTCATTTAATACTAGCAAATACTGCACACGGAAAGAACGATTTTGCTGAAAAAATTTTGCTAGATACAGATCTGAATATAAATTTTGTTGGACCATCAAAAAAATTATGTTGAAACGTCAAAAAATTTTGACATTTTTCGCAAGCATTTTGTGTTTCTAAATGTATGCGAAAATTACTTATTTTGAGTATTAAAGACACTTATTCAGTGCTTTTAACACTCAAAATAAGTACCTAATTAGTTACTACATTCTAGTATCGAATTTCTGTAAGAAAATCTTTTCTACTTTCGTTGATTGGAATTTTTGACATAAATTATTTGATATTTGGTTATATCCGTACTCATGGTGTTTACCCTGCACCCATAGATTATATAATCATCTTTATTCTGAAATAACTTATGCCTACTGCTTCAGTATTTTGCGATGATTCATCCATTGGTATATTTCTAATTGATCAAATTTCTTTGCAAATCACCGTATAATCGTGTTTTTCTCTGATATAAAAAGAAATATGGCTGAGTAAATATTTATAAACAAATATATGTTAATTGAGTATGCATGTTTGATTTTTATTCAACAACTTTCAAATGTGTTCCACGCATTTACGCTTCAATCAGGGATGCGATGATCGTAACGACTCTGGACACCTTTACCAGTTTGCTGGCCGGCTGCACGATTTTCGCCATCCTGGGCAATCTCAGCCACGAATTGGGGAGCGAGGATGTCGGCACGGTGGTTCGGGGCGGCGTCGGACTGGCGTTTATCTCGTATCCGGAAACGATCGCCAAGTTCACGGTCGCGCCGCAGTTCTTCGGCGCCGTGTTCTTCGCGATGCTATTCGTCCTGGGTATCGGTAGCGAAGTCGGCCTCGCCTCCGCCATAATTTCCATCGTGCATGATCAGTTCCCAAAGGTCAAATACTGGCACGTAGCGGTCGGTACCTGCCTCTGCGAGTTTTTGATCAGTCTCATATACGTCACGCCGGTATGCCAATTAAATGCGATGTTTACGATATATGATGTTTTTTGGCTAAACGGGCGCCGTTATCTTAATTAATTGAAACGAGTGTTCGCAGGGCGGTCAATTCATGATAACCTTCGTTGATTATTACGTGACATCATTTATCGCTTTTCTACCAGCTGCTTTCGAAATGATCGCTGTCGCTTGGTCGTACGGTACGTTTTTCATTCTTCGCTGCGGAAATTTGACATCCGTCAGTTAACCGATCATTATCAAGATGAGATTTAAAGCGAGCGATTTTAGGACTGGGTAACTTCTTGAACGACGTCGAGTTTATGCTGAAGAGACGGTTGTCGATATTCTGGCGAGTCTGCTGGAGCGTCCTTACTCCCGGAATTATCCTTGCAATCTTCGTTTATACATTCGCCAACCTCGAACTATTGAAATACAACAAGAAATATTATCCTTTTCCAGTTTACGGTGAGTTATTAGAACCTTTAAAGGACAGGTTGACTTTTTAACTCTTACAGCTTTTTTTTAAATAAGTTTTATTTATAATTCATTGTATTTCTTGCCTCAAAACGTGACATACCTATTGTTTAGAGAGAAGTCAAATATATTGGCTTTCCGTCCTCTACTGTAACACGTCAATATTTAAAAATTGATAAATAGTTTAAAATTTGTTATAAAGGATTTTTAAGTTTGCTCAAATTCAAATTTGATATCAAAAATTCAACAATTAAAATGGCAAATCCAATATAACGGCTTAATAATTGAAAAAATAAATTTTCGTAAATGTTTTTGACTTTGAAATATATGTATACATCAAATTTTGAAAATTCTAAAAGAAGAAAAAGAAATTAATATATTTATATATCACATATTTCGTCGTACACGGCTAGGATTTAGTGTATTTTATGATAGTACGGAATGCATTGTGAATTTACTCTGCGGATTGTTTTTACATTATTTTTTATCTTTTATGTTTTATATTTTTTTGTTTTATCACAACAAGTATTAATCATAAAAGCTGGTAAAGAGGTTACAATATGCTTATAGTATGAAAAATAGCGTCAATATATTGGCACTTCCGTCCTGTAAACATCAAAACCGGATAAAATTCCGATGCTTAAAGAATTTTTTTCAATCTTTTTCTTTCATAAAACTGTTGATTTGTAAATTTTTATTTCTTCTGTATTATTATTTTTATTTTTAATTATTCAGGAAAAATTTTATTCTAAAGGATAACGTGTACCCTCATAATAATAATAATTTGACGACTAATTCAGTTCTCATATTTCTTCTACGAATAGTCGTAGGTTGGATCCTCTTCTCTATCGCTATTATCCAAATACCTTTGTGGATCGCTATTGCGATATTCAAGAAGAGACATCTTCCTTTCCGAAAAGTAAGCGACACGGTCAACATTCACGTGAAATTACGGGATACCATTCCACTTTAATATTGTCACATCTACCATAATTGTATTTATCTCTTTTAGATGATCAGACAGGCCTTTCGACCGTCGAAATTATGGGGTCCGAGCAACGCGGAAGATCGTAGAAAATGGCTGGCCTTCCGAGATCAATGCGACGCGGAAGAGAAATGATATCGGGAATGTAAATCGTTGGCAGGTTCACTCCAAGGTCTGTTCCGTGTAATTTTCGAGAGACGACGTTCCGACGTTTCAATGTGTTGTCGTTGAAGTTGATGAAGTGACTTTGCAATAATAACTGCCACGTGTCACATTCACTGTTTTGCAACTGATATGACTTAAGTGTACAACTTACTGTTACAATTACCGGCATGTATTATATGTCATTAGTCATTATGATGTCACGGCAACCATACGTAATGATAATAATTAAGTGTCGTTTCTTGTGTTTTGTGCAAGTCGCAACTCACTCGTCCTTGCTACGTATATACCTATATAACTGTACATTCTTTAAACTTTACGGAGAATGAAATCGTGTGAATCTGACGATGTGTCGCCATGACCTAACTGACGAGTAGCACACCGTATGCAACAAGGCGTTAAATTAAAGTACCTTGGTGGAAAATTTTTCTTAGAATTCTTTATGTTACTCCTTTCAGAATTTCTATATAAATATAAATTCAAAATTTTATAAATTTTTACAAAATGTTTCAAATCTTTTATAAGAATTGGAACATTTTCTTAGAAGTGCAGAGAAAGTCTACATTTTTCTAAAATTCTTTATATACGTGAATTCTGAAATATTTTAACACGGAAAAAAAATTGCTGTTGCCACAGCCTAATAATTGTGATATGAATTTTCGGCCATCAATTTAGAAGAGTTATAGGAACTAAAATACTTTGGAAGTGATTTATATAGTTAACTGAACTCTCAGCCTCAATGTTGTGACGTGTAACTATATCATATATATATATCTCAATTATACTATTTGTTGTACAGACCATACTAGAGAGATAACAATAATGTTTCGGTTGAGGCAACCACATATATGAAGATATTCTAACCGAATAATTATTTATCCTAAACACTACGGTTGTGACAACCGTACTGATGAGCATACCTTAACAGATGAATGCCATGTAACATCAATATAACTTAAATTCACAAGCATTTCTTTTCCAAACATAGAGAATATTGTTGTAACATCCACAGCAATTTTTTCCGTGAACATTTCTCATTCTGTAAAATCTGAAGAAGTTTAAAAAGGTATTTTTTTCGTAAATTTAAAATTTTAATAAATAAATTAATTAACAAATTTTTAAATACTATGAGACATTATAAGAATTTTTTTACCAGGGTGAGTGACATTTATAGATATTAAAACACTATTGTATTTAGCGATGTTCCTAAAAAAAAATGTTAAGAAGAAGAATTAAAATACAATAAAATATTTTACATCTTTTATTAGTTTCTTACGAGAGGAATGCCGAATGATAGTAGCAGCATGTACATAATTATCAATAATTGACTGCACAAATTATGAGAATTATACATCGAGATTTTACATTGATAAGATTTTAAATTTACGCAGATACTTCAGATGTACCATTATGCAAGTACATGCGCAAAATAAATGCCTATAGTCTATTTTTGTGTCTCTCTCCTTTCGACGCTGTGAGAAAACCCACCGGTTCTCCTTTCGCTTAGAAAGGTCTCGCGTCATTGCGCGCGAAGCGTGACGTACGATGACATCACGCAACTGTGACGTGCGGAATTATAACTACGTATATAAAATATAAAGAGAAAGAGAGAGAGAGAGAGAGAGAGAGAGAAAGAGAGAGAGAGAAAGAAAGAGAGAGGGAGAGAGAAAAGCCTTTCGTCGTCCGTGTGTCGTGTATAAATCGCGGAATCTCCCATCCCTTCCTAAAATTATTTCGCACGTCTCTTCTTCGATCGACCAACCTGGTAATCCCTATTCCCCCTACTTTCCGTCGCTCCGTTTTTTCTTTCGCAAGTTTATCCCTTCCTGCCGGATCGTACCTGTCGCGTCTCTAGTCTGTGGGGAGGAAATTTCCGCGTCTCCCTTCTACCTTCTATCACTTTCTCTTCCTTGGCCGCGCGATATTTATCCCATTTTTAATCACCCGCGTGGAGGAGATTCCCTTGTCTCCTCCTCTTGCTCTCCTGTTCATCCTTTCCTCGTTCATCTCGTTTCTTTTGCGGAGACTCGTCTTCCTATCAGAGCGCGAGATTCCACCTGTATTATATTCCTTACTCTCGAGAATCGTGCGGGGTCCATAGTACGCGTAATTATCCCTTCACGCGCGATGACGTATGATTCATTGTCGCTCCTACCTAGGCTACCACCTGGTCGTCCACCTAGACGATCGGCCCGTCGTGTCTCTCGCACGCGAGGCGCAGTATTCTGTCACCAGCCGCGCGCGGGGATATTTAGTAATGGTTATCGTTTTATCAAATGAGCTTCCGAGCACATACGTGCGGGAGAAAGAGCACACCTCGACGCCTGATCCGACGACCAGTTTACGTCGGTAGCGTCGACGCGTTTGAGGTATATCCCTTCGGAACCCGGTAGCGAATTCGCGCGTCCCAGTTTTCCTGCCTTGAGCGCAGAGCGGCCGTTCCCTATTCTCATTCGCGGCACTCAACGTCGGCCAACGTCCGCTATGTACGAAACAGTAAGTGAACGATTTGTTCGAGACGTGATTTGTTTCAAACGCGCACGCCGTAATTTAAGCAGGAAACGAGCTGTCGCGGACTGAAAAGAAATATGGAAGTCAGAGACGCGAGATAAAGTGTGCGATACGAATGTTAATGCGGTAGCGGTACAATTAACGATTATAATGACGTGAGAGAATAGTATATAGTTATTCGCGCGAGGCGTAAGAGCCACGCGCGTGTATGAACTCGGTTAGTTTTTCTAACTTCTTCCATCCTGGCATCACCTTACGGTGCGTCGCGTCGCGTCGTGTCGGGCACCTTTCGTTTCTTTTCTATCGTCATGTATCTCACGGCACGCGAAACGATAAGTGAAAGTTACCCTAAATATATTGTGAGTATACCGTAACGTCTCGGGCTCGGAATTGAAATAAAAAAAAAAGAAAGAAAGAAAAAAGGAACGTGCGATAACACTTGCGTAATTAAATCTTGAAACACGAGATAAAAATAATCGCTACGCTAACAACGCCGCGGGTGCAGCGACATGTGATGTTTCCGATGCAATATGCTTCGAAATGTTTGCCGAGTGATCTACAAAGGATTTTCCGTCCAAGGGTACTCGCGACGATAAAGTTCCCGATATCTTTGTCATCCTTTCTTTGAAATTTCCTCTTTTGCCGCTGGATATCTCGCGGAGTGCAATTATTATCGCGCAAAGAGCACAGATACCTTAATCCGGTCGGAGTTGCGATGGCTCGATTGCAGCGGGGAGAAAAACACGTTTCGCGAATAGAGGTTTTCCTTTCAAACTCGTACCTGTTGACATTGACCCATATATTTTCATTGTACGCGTTAGAACTATCTTGATTGTCGGAACTCTTATTTATGTTTGCACGTCCATGTCGAATGCATTTATTCGAATAACGAAACGCCATTGAAGACGATTAAATTGAATTGAATTGTCGCATCAAATGCGGCGCGTTTGCGCATAATTGCAGAGGGACGAGAAGGAACTGGGTCTTGATAACGTCGTCTTCCAAATAGACGAGCCTCACGTCGGAAATGGCGGGACGAGGTATTATCCTGGCAACTCGACAGTGGTTTTGGACGAGCAGATCGGCGAGCCGGGAAAAGAGCGAGCGACATGGAACAACAGCATGGAATTCCTCATGTCGTGCATCGCCGTGTCGGTCGGTTTCGGTAACATCTGGCGATTCCCGTTTACGGCCTATGAGAACGGCGGTGGCGCCTTTCTCATCCCGTACGTGATCCTGCTCTTCCTGGTGGGTAAACCGTTCTACTTCCTGGAGATGATTATCGGCCAGTTCTCCGGCTGCTCGTCCGTCAAAGTCTGGAGCATGTCGCCGGGTTTCGTCGGTAATTTTCTCGATTCGGTAACTTTCTCGCGAGAAATAGACGTACTGGAAAACATTATTTGACGGTTGTCTTATTTTCAGAAGAAATATTTGGCATTTCGATTCAGGACCAAGTAGATTATAAATTCTGCTTGTTTATAAGTTTTTGGACACTCTTAAAATAAAATAAAGCACACATTCTTGCGTAATATTTGCAATATAACTACAGTAATTGATCTTTTTTAACTATGAAATAATAAATATCTGTCAACGATTGATATATTGTTCGAAAATTTACAATTTTATTTAAAAAATTCTTTTGTTTTTATTATAAATATATATATTAGCTTTATATATTTATTTTGAGTATTTTGTTAATTAATTTTTCAATCGTGCTTAACATTTCACTCCAGATATTTAGAGAGCATTTTGGATGTATTATCCGAGATGTAGATCTATCTTTCTTATATCTGTCATCTTTTTTTTGCTTTTTTTATTATTCACGAAGATTTTTTGATAAAAAATTGTAAGTTTTTCAGGCTACTCCTTATAAAAAAATATTATTGGATTTGAGGGAAAAAAAAGATTGAAAATAATTAGAAAATCATTTAAATTCAAAATTGTACACCATTCGTTTCAATAGTTTCTTCTTTGAAATTATGGAAAAATACTACTGAATTAATACGTATACACATTTTTAAACCGTGACATATATTTTTGTATTTAGTAGTTAAAAAAGGTCAAATTATTGTTGCCAAAATAGAAAAAGTTACGCAAGAATATGTGCTTTATTTCATTCTTAAGAATGTCCGGGAATTTATGAACGCGGATAATCCTATATTTGTATGTACATGTGAGTGTATGTTTAAACATAAGTATACATTGTATAATGAAATAATACTTACAATTAATTAATAGCACATGGAGCTAAACTTCGTTATCGCGTCGAGATAAGACACGAATGCCGAACGCTGAAAGACTATAGCTTCGTGAAAAGTTCTAGAAATTTTATGTAGAATCTAATTTTTTGCTTGTATAAATTTCCTGTACAAAATTGCTAAATTGTGAAGATATAAGTTTTGATACATTCTTATAAATATTGATTGACTTTAACCGGTTTTTCTCGATTGAGTAACTTCCTAACAACCTGCCGCGCGTTGTGCAAAATCAACGACGGCAAATTTAAACGCATATCCTCGGTTGAAGATTGCTTCTCTTGCTTTCTGTAGGAGTTGGATGGGCGCAATTCTGCTCGACCATCGCATTAGCGACCTACTACAGCTCGCTGATGGCATTGACACTTTATTATCTGATTGCGTCCTTCTCTGCCGAATTGCCCTGGGCCACCTGCCTTGAAGAATGGGGTGATGCATGTGTTGATTCGAGCACCAAGAGAAATCACAGCGCGGACAGCACGACGGAGGGAAACGTCAATGTTCTCAATGATTTCTTAAACAGCAGCGGTAAGCTTCAAAGCTCGGCCGAATTATACTTTTCGTAAGTACAAGTCGTATAATTCTCTTATCTCATTCCTATAAAAAAATAACGTTGCCTTTTATAGAACGCGTTCTACAACTCGTGCTTTTAATTTTCACGAAGACGCGACGGAGCAATGTTTCACAAATAAACAAGGAAATCTCATGTCGGAAATGACCTTGATCAAATTTAATATTAAAAATTAGAAATTCGCAATAATCATGATTCTATTTGATATCTAAGCTAAGAAGAGCAAATTGATCGGAAAAGAGGCATTTAATCTCTTGTTAAAAGGGCATTCTAGTTTAGAATTTCAGAAAAATTCGATTTTTTTCTTTGTACATACATATATACATACATTTTTTTATATTTAGGGTCTCGGAACATAAGTTCTTAAAAAAATTTTATTATAATATTCGTAAAAATAACAAAACTGTAGGCATTTTTAAGATTGTCATGCACAAGCTATTTAATGCGCTTTGTCAACAGAACCTCAAGACAGTTGTTATCAAGCTAATCTTCCATACAATAGTTTTTTCCTTAGTAGAATGTTTACATTTGGATTGAAACAATTATTAAAGATGTAGGACGCTGGCAACGCCGATTAGAGATAAATTTTTATTTCTTATAACTGGACTTGAAACATTAAATTTCGTTTTTTTTTAAACGATATTTTTCAAGTCGGTTGACACAATTTCTCAGAAACTATATTTAATCTTATTAAAAAATACTGGATTCACGTGAAAAAACTGTTGGAACATATAGGTAGTACGTAGTATTGAATGGTTTTCTAATAATTTCCAAGGTTTTTCACATAAATCCTATAATATTTTTTCACGAGAACAATTTTTATGTATGTTATAAAATATATATATATATGTTTACCACATAAACTGGAATCATTGCAATATCTGTAAAAAAATACTAATTTTTATAGATGTTAAATTCAAAAATTTGGTTAAAAAATTAATATTTGTTTTTTTTAAATTGCATAATTGCCATTAACAATTTGCAATGTTTTTTATTTATCCTCATAAATCAGACTACAGTTACACTCGTAATAACTTTTTAATTTTTTATTTCAGTTAAGTTAGAATACTACAATCATGTAAATCACTGTCTTTTTTTCATATTTTATTTTTAAATTTACGTAATATAGTAAAGCAATAAATATTTACTATACATATATTTAGCCACATCAAAATTTGTAGATATTTACCAAATATGTACAAATAAATGTGCAAAAACGTAGAAGAACATGTGCAGTTCTTTTTTCTTTAAAAAAAATTCCCCAAAATAGGCCACTTTTTGCCCTCTAGATTACCCCCTTAAAATCAGAATCGCGAATAGTAAGACAATATATATCAATATACATAGTGTATATTAGACATAACAGTAATTGCTCTGAAATAGACATAGAAAGTACTTATTCCTAAAGATCAAACGTTTTGCAGACGAGTAGTGCTGCACGAGAAGGAGAACATCGACGATGGGATCGGATGGCCGGACTGGAAACTGACAATGTGCCTTCTCGGTAGCTGGACGGCGGTTTGCATGGTGCTCTTTCAAGGTGTAAAGAGCTCCGGGAGATTTTCCTATTTCCTGGCCATTTTCCCGTACATTGTGCTGATCGCATTGTTGGTTCGCGCGGTCACTCTGGACGGTTCGATCAACGGGATCTTATACTTCATCACACCAAAATGGTCCAAACTCCTGGAGCCGACCGTCTGGTACGCCGCTGTGACTCAGTGTTTCTTCTCGCTCTCCGTCTGCTTCGGCAGCATTATCACGTACTCCTCGCATAACAGTTTCAAGCACAACATCTACAGGTGAGAAGGAAAGTATTGTTTTCTCTCGAAATCGCGTTTACGTGTGATCAAATATTTTATAATAACAACATCACAAAATTGTTTAGCACAATAGAGTACAGCAGGGTAATGTAAATAATAGGGTAATTTGGAGAATATAGTAACCATTTGCAAGAATTTCAGAAAAATAAGAGATTTTAAGATATATTTTATTATATTAATGTCTGATATAATGAAATGTATCTTAAAATCTCTTATTTTTCTGAAACTCTTGCAAATACTTACTATTATCCAAATTGCCCCACTGTTCAAATTACCCCGCTGTACCCTATATATATATACGTACGAATACACAATTAATAATAGAAATAAGCCTATCTACTCAAAAGCGGATCTTGATACCTATAATAATATTTTGCGCAAATTTATATAAATATGTACATTTTCCAATATACATAGATACCATTCATGCAAATTACGCGATTATTTCTTGAAACACAGTCCTCAACTGAAGCTGGAATCGTAATATCAAATTGACAAACAATTTAATAACATTAACACGCCAATAAACTTCTTAAAACATGGTAAAGAATTTATGTAACAATATACGATCTTAGAGACGTCATGATAATTACTTCGTTGGACACGGTCACGAGTATGCTGGCTGGTTGCACGATATTCGGGATCCTCGGCAATTTGGCGTATGAGTTAGGGGTGGAAGATATATCCAAAGTGGTCAGAGGCGGAGCCGGTCTGGCATTTGTGTCCTATCCCGACGCGATCGCGAAATTTAACTTTCTACCACAGGTAATTGGTATTTATTTTGCTATGCCCATATATTACTTAATACCGTCATTAGTTTAAATGCCAAACGTCTTTTCTGAAAGTAAAATCTTGTTTCTCTGTAGATTTATTCTATGAATAAAATATTATTATAAATATTTAGAATTATTATAGCAAAAATATTATTATTGATTAAAATATCAAATGTTTCTTTGCAGCTGTTTGCCATACTCTTCTTTTTTATGATGTTCGTCCTTGGTGTCGGTAGCGCGGTAGGAATGACCACAGGCATCATCACGGTGATAAACGAGCAGTTTCCCAAGCTGAAAACTTGGCAAATCGTAGTTCCAACCTGTTTACTTGGTTTCTCAATCGGCACGGTCTACGTAACACCGGTTAGCATAAAATTATGCTTTGTCCAATAAAAAAAGGATTTATCTTAATATATTCGAATTATAAGTGAATCTTAATATAATATTTAATATAATCTTTTAATAGAAAATCTTAATATAATACGGTTATCAGCAATGAAAGAATTTTACAGGGTGGGCAATTTATATTAACTTTAGTGGACTATTACGGTACGTCATTCGTCGTTTTCATCCTGGCATCGTTCGAGATGACTGGAGTGATATGGTTTTACGGTAAGAATTACTTTCACGAAGAAGAGTTTTACGATAAGAAATTACTCAATCGTATCACATTTTTTAGTTTTCTTTATGCTAATTATCAATGTACGTAGGCCTGGAGAACTTTTTGGAGGACTTTGAATTTATGCTGGATCGAAAACCGAGCGTTTACTGGAGGATATGCTGGTTTATAATGACACCGCTGATTCTGATAACAATCTTCATTTATACTATAGCCACTTTGTCGCCTTTGACCTACGGCGGGACATCGTTGCCGAGATATGCGCATGCCGTTGGGTGGACGATACTCTGTTTCGGTGTTCTTCAAATACCGCTGTGGATGTTGATCGCGATGTTGAAGAACTGGGAACTGCCGTTCATGCAGGTATTGGCCGCGCAAAGAAAGTCACATTACAAGACGCTTCACGAGTTTTATATGAAAAATTTTATTAAGAAAAGAAATAATAAGATAGGCAATATAGGCATTAACATGCAGAACTTGGTAAAAAGTTTTTCTTTAAAATATATAAAATGTTGTTACATATCCTTTAGTACATTTCTTTCCGCCTATGTTTCGGTCTTCTTCAGATTTTCCTCAGTAATAAGTAGTACATTAAGTAAGCCAATATCAATAATTTATTCTGCTACTAAATATCAAAGTATGTTCCGTAATGTGTGAGATGAACTTCAAATTCCAATATTGCAATTATTCTAAGAATCACTTTAAATGACTAACTTTAAAGAATCATTCTAAACGTGACAAGTCGTGTCTTTTAACACATCTTACGACAATGTTATAATCCATTGTTTCATCTACGTTACATGCATTTTGACTTGTTCCCATAATAATTATGTATATTTACAATCTTGGAATTTGAAGCCTATCTTACACATTGCGGAACATGCTTTGACGTTTAGTAGCAGAATAAATTATTGACACAAATTATTATATTTATTGTCACAATTAGAATGATTCTTAGAATCATTTTAAATGTGACAATAAACGTGTCAAGCCGTGTCTTTTAACGCATTTAATAATGACGTCATAATTTATTATTTCATCTTCAAATGTAACATTTTACATATTTTAAAGAAAATTTTTTATGCGCAAAATTCTACGTGTGACTCTTATTGCCTACCTTATTATTTCTTGTTATTTTAATTTGAAAATCAAATATATTATATATCATTTTTTAATAAAAAAACTTAAAATAATTGAATAATTAAATTTACGTTTCTTTGCGCTGTTTAAGATGTTGAGGAAAGCTTTTGCACCCGCGAGCGGATGGGGTCCACGAGAAGTGCAGCAACGCAAGGATTGGAGGATCTTCAAGGAAGAAAAAGCGAGAGATCGGGAGAAGAGGATCCAGCCTATCTGGAAGCAAATACTTTACATTCTCTTAAATATGGAACCGATATAGAGCACGCAACTTCGTCTGGCTCGAGATATTTTAAAGTTGTTCGAGTTTTATAGTCGTTTTTCTGCCGCGGCGGGATCCGTGGCAAAAAAACCCATGAAATAAGTTAACAGAAATAAAAGATTTTTTTTAATCCTTTAACTGCATGCGGATTTCCAACAAGCCATCTTATTTTCTATTATTTAATGTAACGAAATAATTGATAAAAATAGCCAGAGAGATGGTCAAATTATATTCACATTTATATTTTTTAAAAATTAAATATAAGTAGTATGAAGAAATTTTATCAATCCGCATATATTGCGTACCTATTTAATAGCGCAGTTAAGGGATTATACCTAGTTGTGTATGCTTAAAGCTTAGCTTTCGCTAGTTTCCGTAATTCAACCCTATGCGTAATGTTGCACTGTGTGCAATGTGACATATGACAAAGAGCTGCCAATATTGTTAAGAAGCCTTTTAAGCGATCGCCATGCGATTATCACTACATATGAACAATCCAAATAACAAATAAACATAGTAAAAGTAATTTTCGTATTAGTTTAATATATAATAATTGTCAATCTTTGCCAAACAGCGCTGCTATAACTTTCGATTTCTTTGCGCACGCTCTCGATATCTTCTTCGAGTGCTTAAAGTCCCTCCATTCATTGTATTTTTTTAAATTCTTCGGACCCCAATCGGCGCTCGGCTTGAATATCTAAAAATAAAAAGCGATAAGTCATAATTTCACACAATTTTAGACGACACATGGATTTATATATATATATATATATATATATATGCTAGAACTATCTTTAAATAAAGTGCAAATATGTATTACATTCGAGCATCCATTGTTTCTATTCCGAAATCCAACAATGATTATGCCTAAAGGAAACGGAAGAATTCCCAAAGCCAGAAGCGTCCAACCCGCAACTTCAAAATTAAAAGATATTTCATGACATTATATTAAAATTATAATTTCTTATACTATGATTTTAATATATTAATTATAATTGGAATATCTTAAATAATTTTTACTTATATATGTTACCTTCATTTCCAATTAAAACGAAATTTAATTATGTATTATTACAATTTAAATTATTTAAATTATATATTATAATTTAATTATAATTTTTACGATTGTAAGAATTTCAAAATAACTAATACCGTATGCGGACGTTGGATAATATTCGTCGTTGTACGTGAGCGGTGTCATATTGATCAGGAAGTAAACCAAGATAGTGAATAGAAACAGGGGAGTCAAATAACACCAACAGAATCTCCAGTAAAAGAACGGCCGTCGTCCTATCATAAACTCGACATCGTCCATAAAATTATCGATGCCTGAAAATCGATGAATTAATCTCCTCTTTCCAAAATAACTTTATGCGAGAATAAAATATAGATTATTACCATATACCCAGGAAATAGCGATCATTTCAAAGGAAGCTAAAAACACGATAATGAAGGTCCCGCCGAAATAATCTACCAAGTTGAGAATGTACTGGCCGCCCTATCAATAAAATAAAAATTATATTTTATCAGAATTTTTATACTACATAATTTAAAGTAACCGTTAGTGACAATTTTTCTTAGAATTCTTTATATAATTTTTCAGAATTTTTTATAATTTTATAACTTGTCAAAAATATTCTTAGATTTTTTTACAAATTGATTTTTATATATTGTAAAATAGTTAGTTTTATACAAAATTTTCATTGCTGAAAAAGTCTAAATTTTTTCTAAAATTCTTTATATACATATATGTGTGTATAAATTTTAAAATATTTCTAAGATTTCTTATTTTATAACTTCTGAAAAAAAATTTATAAAATTTGAAAAAGTTTAAAATATTTTTTTAGAAATCTTCATAAATATAAAATTTAAAATATGACAAATTCTTAAAAATTTTATGAGAATTTTTTACACTAGGCACTTTATTATTTTTCTTAATAATAAAAGTGTTAATCTAAAAAAATCCTTCCTTTCTTTATGAAGGAAAAAAGATTAATTATTATATTAATTAATAGTGTTTATTTATTAGTTTTATTACGTAAGAGAATTGACAAAGATTTTCATTAAAAATAAAAAAATGATTTTATAAAACTTACGGGCGTGCAATAAACAATGCCAATCGAAAAACCGAGAATCGCGAGGCCAGCGGCGATCTTCCAATGTTTGAGCCGCGGGAATTGGTCGTTGATGATGCTGATAATCACGTTACAGAAGGCAACGGTAGTGCCTATACCCAGCACGAAGAGCATCAGGAAGAAGAGCACGGCGAAGAGCTGCGGTACTACCGTGAATTTTGCCAAGGCTTCCGGATAAGATACGAAGGCCAGGCCTGTCCCAGCGCGTACGACGGTGCCGATATCATCGCTGCCGATCTCGTGGGCGAGATTGCCTAGAATTCCGAAGATGGTCGCGCCTGCCATCATACTCGTGCAGAGATCCAGAGTCGTCACGATCGTGCAATCCCTGCAAAAATCTTCTGCTGATTCTCTAGCACTCTTTACGTGCTTTGAATTTCGTAGAACTTTGTAACTCGATTAATAATTTCATTATTATCTTGGTAAAAAGATTCTTATATTTCAATCGTGATATTAAGATTTTTTTATACTGTAAATTATTGAGAATTTCTGAAAAAATATTTTAAATTTCCTGAGATTTTATAAGATTTCTTCTAAAATTATGGAATGAAAAATCTTAGAAGTTTTAAAATATTTTAAAATTTACATATACAAAGAATTATAGAAAGGATGTAGATTTCTAAAAAGTGTTCCAATTAATATAAAAAATCTAAGAAATTTTTTAAAAAGTTATAAAATAATACAGAATTTGTGAAAAATTCTAAAATTTACATAGAAGTAGTATATAAAATTATATAAAATTGTGAAATATTGTATGAAAAATTCAAAGAAAGATTTTCACCACCTTGGTGGTAAAAGAAATTTTTATATCTTATAATATTTTTAAGAATTTTTATATTTTAAATACTTGAAGATTTCATGAAAAATATGTTAAATTTTTTCAAATTTTATAAGTTTTCTTTGGCAATTACAGAACGAGAAATTTTGAAATATTTCAGCGTCTACCTACATAAAAATTCCAGAAAAGGTGTAAACTTTCTTATTAATTAAAAAAATATATTTCAATTTATATAAGAAAATTTAATAAATTTTCTAAAAAGTTACAAAATTTTAAAATTTATATGAAAATTCTGGAAAATTATGTAAAGAATTTTAAAACAAATTTTTTCGTCAAGATAAGATAGGATAATTTTAGAAATGTACGCGCACCTTGATACATTATGTTCGAAACCATTGTAAGAGGAATACATGGTCACCGCGCCGAAACATACGCCGAGGGAGAAGAACGATTGCGTGACGGCGGCGTACCAGACCCCCGGCTCCAGAATCTTGTGCCATGTGGGTTTGAAGAGGAAGATAATGCCGTCCACCGCTCCGTCCAAGGTCACCGCTCTTACTAGAAGGCTGATCATGACGATGTATGGAAAGAGGGCCAGGAAATAGGCCGCTTTACCTGTGCTCTTCACGCCCTTGCAGATCACTACGTAGACGAATATCCAGCTAGCCAGCAACGCGAGGATCAGCTTCCACGAAGGCAGCCCAAGCCCGTTCTTGATTCCCGTTTCATTGAGAACGTAATTTCTGAATGTACAGGCGGTTAGAAACGTTTTAGTCTAGTCGAGAAATCGAAATCCTGAGAGCCTCGTTGAGAAATTAAAGTTTTTCAAGAGATTTCCGCGTCGATATAAATAGACTTAAGGATAATACGAGGAAAAAAAAATTAATAAGAGAAACTTAACAACGTAAAAGGATATTCTATGATAAAGATAAAAAAGCGAGAGATAGATGAGAGATATTGCCAGCAATTTAGTAAATTACTACGCACGTTGCAATTATTTAGTGGCATTATTGTTATTATCGCATTGCTTCGAGAGAGATACGGATGGATTTTTATCTCGAATCTTTGCTACGGAACAACAAGTTTACACATGAACACACGTGACATGGCAACTACAAGTAATAACTGCAAAAGGCTCTTGATGATTTACGACTGATATCGTGTGACATAGCACGTGTGCAAACGGATGCGATAACAGTGTCACATTTAGAACCTTCTGATGACATCGTCAAAAAAAAGCAAGAGGAAGATTAACGCACCTGAAATAGAGATCGGCGGAACTTCTGCTTCCGTTTTTCGCTTGCTCGCCAGTCGACGTGCTGTTAAAACACGCATCGCCCCATTCCTCCCAGCAATAGGACCACGGGAGCACCGACTGACAGCTGGCGACCATGTAGTAGAGCGTTAGTGCCATAAGGGCGCAATAATAGGTAATCACGGCGAACACCGATACCGCTACGCCGTAGCCGATGCCTAAACGATCAACAAATTAATTAATTGAATTATATATACACAACTTTAATGCGATGCAAAGCGAGCAATTTTTTGACTGCTTTCTTTATGGCACGATCTCCATTTAGCACATATGACTCCGTTTTTGGTAAAATTCATTTATTGTTTTGACTATGTTTTATTTGATTATTTATGCGACTCTGTATAATTTATTTTATTTTAATCACTGACTACACAATGCGTATTTTCATTAATTTATCAAATTAGTAATGCGATTGAGAAAGTCCTAGTAAGAATCAAAACTATAAGTTTTGTTGCGTTTTGTGTTAGAAAATTAATTAATAAAGTAATTTTTACAATCTGTTAAATTACTCGTCTTTGGCCGTTCAATCTTATTAATTATTGTATTATTTATAATAACGAGCGAAATCTATAAAGAATTTTAATTAATTGAAATTAATTAATTAAATTAAATATATTAAATTAACATAATAAAATTGTAGCACCAACATCCTGATATAACCGTTGCATTGACTCATCTTATTCAATGTAATTAAATTAAATTATTGATTGTAATGATCCATGATAATTAAAACTATTTATGTAAACTAATAAGGAAAGGCTCTCAAGTGTTCATCTTCGATTTTAATGAACCCTAATGTGTTTGTAGAAGGATTAATAATATTTGGTATGTTTTTTTTATTGGCAACCAAACATATTTAAGGGACAAAATCAGGCAAAATCGGAAATTGGCAAAATTTTTATTTTTCGCTATAATTTCTGACTAAAGCTTGATAGCTAATTTCGTGTAAAATGTATAAAATTTTCGAAGCCCGATATTATACCCCAAGTTGGATGATCCTTTGTGTGAGCGCAAGTCTTTCCCAGGCATGAGGCGTCGCGTCGCGACATCTTGCTGCTTACAAGCGATTTCAAAATATAAGGGCGGATTAGAAATAGAGTGCGGTCAAATCAATGCTACAAATTCTTTAAAAGAACTAGGTGAATGTGTTTGCTAATGCTCCATGAGCATACGCAGCATGATCGGTGGCAATTTTTCAATGTATTATTGTTTAATTATTTGTTAGCGGACGTAAAAAATTTACATTTTCTTTATATAAAAGAAACATTGTTCTCGTAATATTCCATATATATAATATGTATATAAGGAAAATAAAAAAATTTACGATCGCTAGCAAATAATTGAATAATAATACGTCGAAGAATTAATTGTAAAAGGAAGTATCTTAAAAAATCTATATGTTTTATAGTGAAGGCTGAAATTCCAATTTTGTTTTGGAAAAAATATTTGTTTACAAATGGATCTCATTGCGATCCCAAAATTTCATTTATGGTACCATATGGAGTATATATTGAAGTATTTCTGAGAATTTTTTCAGATTTGAAAAAGTAGATATAAGCAGTTTATTTTTAAATAAATTCCTGATACATGGAATACGTCATATATGCTATCTGAAATTGTACTTCTATGTTTTAAATTCCGGCATCTCTTTTATAGGATTGAGACCTCGATTTTCATGGAAAAGTACCTTGGAACGGGGGTGACACCGACCAGATCTGTACGCATGATCTGCTAGTAAACTGCCCGAGTATCATCTCCATGTAATAGAAAGGTTTGCCGATTACGAAGAGCACCACTATGTAGGGAATCAGGAAGGCACCACCGCCATTCTCATAGGCCGTGTACGGGAACCGCCAGACGTTCCCGAGGCCGACTGAGAATGCCACGCAGGACATGAGAAATTCCAGCCCGTTTCCCCATTGCGCCCTCGCCTTCTTCTCCTCTTCCTCCCTCGCCTTGATCGACAATGAGATCTGCGAAGAAAGTTGCGGAGAGTGTCGAGAGCTCTCGCAAACGAGATCCAAATTAGCGTTGCGTACCGCTCCCTGCCGAACTTACTCTGCTCTCGGGCTCGTTTCCGCCGGCTGATGACGGGACGGACAGCTTGAATATACCGGGAGTTCCGCTGGCGTCGGTGACATGATTCTGCGAAATTAATTATTCGTTATATCTGATGATTTTTGTTTTCTATAGCAAAATAGGAGACTTTGCCGCAGTCGTAACGTATAAATCATGTACGGCTCTCTGATCATCGCAACGCGTGTCTGATTATATAATCAGATTGCCCTTCTGAAAAATGAGAGACTGCTGCGCAATGCGACACGACACTGCGGAAATGCTTACTTAATTTGACTAACATTATTATTTCACGAATTACTCCAACAGACATACTTCCTAAATTTATTTGGAAACGCTGTTGTCATTTGTGTTTACAGTTGGCTGACTTTGAAAAGAAAAATTTTGACGTTTTGAGACTGGTGATGCGGAAACTTTAGACTGTTGTACATTCGCACATAATTGAATTCGCCATAAATTCTTTAACGTTCTTTTCGTGCAGCGTTAAAAATAACTTGTAAATCGAAATTCGTACGGCTTTTTATTTTGCAATCATAATATTAGTTTTATTACTCTACCATAATCTGTTCTTTCAGCAATAATTTCCTTTTAACGGCAGATTTAATGAATAAAATACAATCTTTTCTGCTTTTAAGTTTCCCGACTTTCGCCTTAGCGTGCAGTGACGAGTGGGCGCACTCGTGCACAGCACTATAAACATACGGTGCAGTTTAATATTGGCGATACTAGGACGCGAATACAATGTTTAAGCTTTCATAAAAAATCTTTTAGAAGTTTCTAGCATGTCAGGTTCGTTCGCCACAATTTTTCAAAAATTGCCAAAAATGCGTTTTTTTAAAGGTTTAAACCTCATTTTTCTCGAAAATGTGACGTGATAGACAAATTTTGAGAGCAGTAGTTTTCAAGGCCCAAAAATCTACGGAAAATACTCTCCTTTTTCAGAAAACTTTTAGCATGTCAACCAGTATTAACAAATTATTATATTTTAACAGATTTATGCATTCTGTAAGTATATGGCATTGTCTCCTAAATACCCCATATTTTAATTTTGTTTTTCTTCTATTTTTCTTTTCTAATTTTGAGCAGAAGGTACATAACATCGATACTTTAATGTCATCTTGTTACGTCCATCTTGCGTAATGTGGAAAAGGATTAGCGTAGATTGATTAAGCGATTGTATTTTACGGTCTTTGTCGGTGACATTTTAATTGAGGATTAATGTCGCGGAAAGAATTTCAAATCTTCAGCGATTATCTTGATATCGGCGCATCGTTTTTATGGGTTATTGTGTTTTATTGCCGTCGACGAATTGTTTATTTATTCCTAATGGGCATTATTCCCATTATCTCTGTATTATCTTATCGTGTTGAAAAAACTTATAATGATAATACAGTTTTTATAACCAATTGATCAATTTACGATAGCAAGCTGATAACAACGAAATAATGATATTTATCTAATATTTTATAGGTCTAATAGTTTATAATAAAATAAAAATGAAATCTTGAATATTACACTGGAAATTTCATCTTTTAATTAATTCTAATGTAATATTAATTTCATTGCATTTTGAAATTAGTGTTTCTATACATTGCCATTGTCAAAAGTTTGACAGCAAATATTGAGCAAGACTTGCTGTAACATAACTCGATATGATATACCCTTTTAAATATCTTTAAATGACACTTTTGTAAATTCTTCTGCACAATTAATTCAGAAATGTCCATTTTACTTTACACAGAATGTGAATGGTTTGAAAATCACTTCAAGAAAAAATATGTGGGATGAAACAAAAAGAAATAGGGACTAATAATAAAACGAGCAAATAAAAGATGTTAGAAAATAATTATATCATTTAATTTGATAATATTAAAGCGGGACGTTTCGACTAACATAAGTCTGTTTCAATAAATATATTACATTACTTTAATAAAAAAAAAAAAACATTTTGAGTAACATTTTGAATAAAGTAAATTTCAACGGACATATTACATTAATTAAATTAGAAACTATATAATATTTTGTTAGAGCGGCACGTGGTTGCGATAATGAAGAGCATGATCGTTTACACAGAGAATAATGATAACAAGTTTATTTCTTGAAATACAGCAAATATCTCGAACGAATGTGGGTAACGTTCTCTTATGGGAAATGAACAAAAACTGAGAGTAATACATAGATAAGATACAGAGGGAGGGTTTCCTTAGTAATAGAGAATTAGTGAAATACACGCGAAACTCTTGGTTTAGTAGATGTCGCAGAACGCGAGTCTCCCGTGAATCGCCATAGGCGCTCTTTATGAACTCAGTTGCGCTTCAATATATTTTTACTATTAAGGTAAAACTATCCTATGTAAATATGGATAAGAAAGTTCATGTAAATTCGTTAGTTTAAAAATTGTAGTATATTGACTTTGTAAATTCTAAGTCCATAATTTTTGTTTGCACAGATGAAAATTCATAGTGTCTATGGACTCAGAATTTACAAAATTGATATGCTACAATTTTTAAATTATATATTTACATAGAACATAGTTTTATCTTAATAGTAAAAACATTATGTAGTTTCCGATTTAATTAACATAATAATATGTCTATTGAAATTTGCAGTCTTATTAAAAATGTTACGTGTTTTCTGATTAAAGTAATGTAATATATGTATAACGACATTTTAAGAAACAGAACATGCGAACGCTTTTATCTGTAATTGATGAAAATTACAAGTACGGAGAACTTTTAAGATAAAGAATGATAAAAAATACCAATTTTATATTTTTCTGATAAATTCTTGAAGAAGAACTAAAAAGAGAACTACAAGAACTACAGTTATAAAAAAATTTAAATAAGCGTTTGTCTGAA